AAAAAAAACAATATATCACAATAGATCAGGCAGCCATTGAAAAGATAATCGGAAAATATACAAGCAACTCTCATAAATTCAACAACTTTGACAAAATGACTAACTCTTCCAAACTCTTCAAAAACCATAGACTACCAAAACTCAGGCATGATGAAACAGACAATTGAAATAATCTGATAACTATTAAAGAAATTTAATTTTCATTAAAAATTTCCCGAAAAAGAAATATTCAGGCCCATTCTATTCCACTGGGGAATTTTAGCAAGCATTCAAACAAGTATTTCTGCAATTTTACACAACATAGGCCATAAATTAGAAGAAACATTTACCAATTCATTTTTATTTGGCCAATGTTACCTCATTAGAGAATTACAAACTGAAAAGCCACATATTTCACTCTATGTAAAAACAGCTAAAATGAAAAAATAGTGATAAGATCAAATGCCATCAGGGAAGTAAAAGAAGATGCATCATTCAGATGTTATGAGTGAGAATAAAATGGTACCATTATTCTGGAAAATAGCTTGGCAGTGCTTTCAAAAGTAAAAATGAGCTTAGCATATAACCCAGCAATTGCACAATGGGGCATATGACCCAGAGAAATGCAGACTTACTTTCACGTGGAAACTTATATACATGAACATTCATAATAACTTTATTCGTAAGAGCCCCAGACTGGAAACCACCCATATCTTCATTAAAAGCTGAAGCGTTAAACAAACTGTGGTCTAACCTTACCACGGAATAGTACTCAGCAACGAAACAGAAGCAACTATTAATAGGTGCAATAATTTGAATAAACCTCAAGGAAATCATGCACGAACAGAAAAAACCGGTCTTAAAAAGAGATTGTGGACAATAATCACGAAATCAGAAAATGGCACTTGAGAATTGAGTGGTTTCTAGAGAAGGGATGCATGTGCCTTAGACAGGGTAACATGAAAGACTCTTAAATAGTGCTACACTTGAGTATCTTGATTGTAATAGGGATTATGCAAAAGTGCAATGTGATAAACTGGCCAGACCCCTCCCACACACACACACACACACACACGAGTGCCCGTATAGCTGGTAAAATCAAGTAAGTTCTATGGTCTGCACCAATGCTGCTTTCTTGATTTGGATAATATACTATCGTCATGGAAGATGTTAATATGGGGGCGGGGGTTGGAGTTCCATGTAGGCTGGAGGAAGGGCAAACAGGACTTCCCTGCACATTTCTTTGCAATCTCTGGTGAATATATAAAGTCCAATACAGATAGTCAAAGTCATCCACATATTTAACTCCAG